GATGTGGGTCTCATATCTGTACTACCATGCAGGGACTGAAGCAGAGTAGACGGTTAGCTCGAGGCGAGATTGAACTCCGAGTCGGCAATGGTGCACCTGTTGCAGCTTTGGCAATCGGAACTTATAGTTTAGTCTTGCCTAGTGGTCTAATGTTGGAATTAAACGATTGCTTGTACGTTCCTGCAATTAGCAGAAACATTATTTCTGTTTCATGTCTTGATAAGAGTGGTTTCATCATTTCTATTAAAGACAAGTCCCTTTCCGTTTACAGAAAGAATGTTTTCTATGCTAATGCCAACATGACCAATGGGTTATATGTCCTTGACTTGGACATGCCTGTCTATAACATATCAGCCAAGAGGAACAAACCGAACGGTTTGAACCAAACATACCTATGGCATTGTAGGTTAGGCCATATAAACGAGAAACGCATATCCAAGCTACATCGGTCGGGAATGCTGGAGTCATTTGATCTTGAATCATATGACACATGCGAATCTTGTTTATTGGGTAAGATGACCAAATCTCCTTTCACCGGACACGGTGAAAGAGCTGGTGATCTTCTGGCACTCATTCATAGTGATGTGTGCGGGCCTTTCAATACAACTGCACGAGGTGGTTATTCATACTTCATCACTTTTACTGATGACCTCAGTAGATATGGCTATGTGTATCTCATGAAACACAAGTCAGAATCCTTTGAAATGTTCAAAGAATTCAGGAATGAAGTTGAAAAACAACTTGGCAAAAGTATTAAAACACTATGATCCGATCGAGGTGGAGAATACTTAAGTGGTGAGTTCGATGACTATCTTAGAGAGCATGGGATTTTATCCCAACTCACACCTCCTGGGACTCCACAATGGAATGGTGTCTCTGAAAGGAGGAATCGAACACTGCTTGACATGGTTCGTTCTATGATGGGTCATTCGACTCTACCAGAATCATTCTGGGGGTATGCGCCGAGCACTGCAATATATACTCTTAACCGAGTTCCAACCAAGGAGGTTGAAGGAACACCATACCAGCTATGGACGGGCAAATGCCCGGTTCTGTCACACTTAAAGATTTGGGGCTGTGAGGCTTATGTCAAACGTCTTTTGACGAATGGCAAGTTTGACGCCAAGTCTGATAAGTGTTTCTTCGTGGGATACCCAAAGGAAACTCGAGGGTATTCATTCTATCACCCTATCGATAAGAAGGTATTCGTTGCTCGCAATGGTGTCTTCCTCGAGAAGGAATTTCTCTCCATCGCAACTAGCGGGAGAAAGATAGAGCTCGAAGAAATTCGAGACGATGAAGAAACTACCGCGCCGGTTCTGGAACATGAGCTAGAGGAACAAACTATTGTACCTCAAAATGCTCAAGATACACAAGAACCCCGTAGGTCTAACCGGTTACGCACACAACCTGAAAGGTATGGATTCCTCCTAACCTTTGAGGGTGACGTAATGCTTATCGACCAGGATGAGCCGGAGACCTACCTCGAGGCAATCAGTTGTCCCGAGGCTGAGGAATGACGTCAAGCCATGCAGTCCGAAATGGATTCCATGTACACCAACCAAGTATGGACTTTGGTTGATGCACCCGAAGGGATCAAACCCATTGGGTGCAAATGGGTCTTCAAAAAGAAGACTGACATGGATGGTAAGGTGCAAACCTTCAAGGCACGATTGGTAGCAAAAGGATATCGTCAAATACATGGTATCGACTATGACGAAACTTTTTCTCCAGTTGTCATGATTAAATCCATTCGGATCTTACTTGCTATCGCAGCATACCATGATTACGAAATCTGGCAGATGGACGTCAAAACGGCTTTCCTTAATGGAAACCTCCTTGAGGATGTCTTTATGACACAACCTGAAGGGTTTTGCGCTCCTGAAGAATCTACCAAGGTATGCAAGTTGCAGCGATCAATCTACGGATTGAAGCAAGCCTCA